GTTTTGGGATTTCGATTTACGTATTAACCCTCGATCCCGCTCCCATGACCTTGCCTCTTTTTCCTTTGCCTCTTGCTCCCGTGACCCTAGCCGTTCGAAGCCGCGCTTCGCCTCTCGCTCCCGTGACCTCCGTTTGAAGCTGGATCTAGCAGAGCTTCGCCTCTCGCTCCCTTCACCAAGCCGTTCGACACCGGATCCAGCAGGGCTTCGCCGCTCGCTCTCTCGCTCTCGTAACCTTGCGCCATTCGACGCCGGATCCAACAACGCTTCGCCTCTCGCTCCCGTGACAGTCGTTCAAAGCCAGATTCAGCAGCGGAGAATCCATCGCCGGAGTCCAGTAGCGGGGAACCATCTACGGATCCGGTTCTTTCTCGAAGTGATTCTTCGGGCTTCACTCCTTCTCCACCTTCTTCGGTTTTTCTGTAGCCTTCTTCGGTTTTCCTCGCTATAGATATATCTTCTTCGTTTTCTTTGTCATTTCACTTTTACAGCGACTTGAGTTATTTTAACTGATTTGGAAAGAATTGATTTGGTTGCTACATTTCTCATGAGAATTATAGATTTGTTTGTGATTTTCCTCAAATTTATTCTTAAGTCATCCAAGATATTTTGATCCATAAAAGCAAATAGATCCCTCGAGATATTGCCAAAAATTTGGCTTCAATGCTAGATTTAGTGATTACAGATTGTTTCGTTCTTCTCCAGTGATTATATTTCCACCTAAATTGCAGTAAGCAGTATTAAAACCTTTTATTTGTAAATCATCTTGCCCAATCAAAATCTTTGTATATGCTTCTAAACTGCTTCTGTTATTTTTTAATAAAAATTATTTTTCTTACATTGTTTTGAGATGTCGAAGAGTTGTATTACTTCTAAAGAAGCGTTATTTTTAGGATTATGCATAAATTAACTTAAAACACTTTCAACTTAAGTACTTTCAACATAATTTATGTCAGCTCTTGTGTGGACAAGAAAGATAAGCCTTCTAATCAATCTTCAATATATTTCTCTGTCATTCAGAGTTGTCATATGCCTTTCTAAATTTGGGGCAGAAGTTAATTGGAGCTTCATAAGAATTGCATCCCATCATACATGTTTTGTTCAGTAGATCTATGATGTATTTTTGTTGAGAGGTTAATATTTCAACTTTTGAGCAGACCACTTCATTGCAAAAAAAATATTTGAGCCTTCCCAGATCTTTATTGGAAATTCCTTACATTATTAATCTTTCACATGTTTTATTCATTTGAGATCATCTCCTCACGTCTTCCACATACACTACAAAGATTGTGATTGGCCTTTGTTGGCTTTCTTTATGAATGAAATGTGATCTACAAGGCTATGTTTAAAGTTAATCCATTCCATGGCTTTCGTACACTTCCTAAACCATACTTTTGAAGATTTTTTGAGGCCGTATGGACTTCTGTTCAACATGTATGCATCACTAGTATTAAAATCTAGATTAGAATGTGGTGGCAATTGTGCAAACATTTCTCCAAGTTTGTCATGTAGGAATGCATTTTTTACATTCAGCAGTTGTAAAGGCTGGTTGAGGCTATTTGTCGAGATTATAAGTATCCTAGAGGTGTCTAGCTTTGTGATTGGTGTAACGATTTCCCATAATCAACTCCATAAGTATAATATAACATTTTGGCACGAGGGTCTACCTTTATATCGTTTGATGTCACACTTACATTTGATCATGGCTTTCTTTTCTCAAACGTTTCTTATATAGTAATTGGAACATTGTTATTATTTATCCAAATATAAAAGGTTTTTCGGGAAGAGGAAATTTTGGAATTGTTTTTTATTTTGAAATTTTTAGAAGCTAGATATATAAATTGTTCATTTATTTTGTAATTTTTTTGCCATAAAAAAAAACATTTTGTGCTTATCCGTTAATCAGACAGAACTCACTAAGTAAAGCTAAAGAGGCTGGAACATCAGCCATGTGAGATAGAGAAGTAACTATCATATTTTGTGATTTATGTTTGAGGAAGGTTGAGGTGAGAAATAAACCCACTACATTTTTTTAACAAAGAAGGGTGGCGAAATATCTTAGTTAAATTCAAAGAAATGACTGGAAGAGATTATGATCGCATGAAAATGAATAACAAATGGGGTTAGCTAAAGAAGGATTGGAAACTATGGAAAGAACTGAAAAGAGGATCAACGAGAATGGGTTAAGTGCACAACAGATGCACTAGAGGAATGGTGGGCTGAGACATTACATGTGCATAAATAACTCTTTTTATTTTATGTTTAATCTAATTTCGCATTGAGTTGACACTATTTTATTAATGCACATTTATTATTTATATCAGGCAGTGCCGTTAGCAAAAAAAATTAAATTCGTTGGCATTGATCCAATAATGGAGGAAAAACTAGATGGAATGTTCACTGAGTTTGTCGCTACAGGAACTCATGCGTTCATCCCAAATGATATAGGGTTTGGCAGCTCATCCCAAGAGATGGATACTGTGTAGATAGGTGATTCAGGAGACCGTCCTAGTCATGTTCACACGGATGTTCAATCTACTATTGTTCCTAAGCGTCCCAGAGTAGAAAATAATAACAAAGGGGTTGCTTTCATTAAAGACACTATTGATGCACTTATTGAAACATGCAAAGCTCGGTCTTTTTCATCGCAGGACATCTCAATTGATGAGTGTCTTCAGGTCCTCAATACATATTCTGATGTTAAGGCAGAGCAGACAGGCAGACAATGATGACTACATTCAATACGTGAAGGTGTTATGAGATCCAATCATCAGACAGTTTTTTATGAAGTTGGAACCGAAATACCGAGTGAAATACTTGCGATCTTTTATAAACGACTAAATATTTGAGTTATTATGTACTTTAATTTCTATTGTTCTATGTTATGCTTATGTGATGCACACTTTTTTTTATCTCATTCGTGGATGTTTTAGACAGTTCACCTTTCTATGTGGTTGTTGTTTCTGTGATGGTCAATTTTATTATATATATTTTTTTTGTTTTGCCCAAAGTTCATGTGTTTTATTCATCTTTCATAGCATACTTTTGTTCTTATTATTAAAATTAATTCATTTTCCTTTTAATAATTTTATAGTATGGATGAAGAAGAAATCAACCACATACGCACAGTCGCATTTACCCTTACCTTATTGTATTATTACTATCTTAAACATGTTGACCGAAACCCATGTATGACTTCAACTCAAATAGGAGACAGATGTGTTGGTGAGTTATTACGGGGCCATCCAACACTGTTCTTTAATATGTTTTGTTTGACACAAGAAATATTTCATGATCTGCTGAATGAACTCCGGATCTATCATGAGTTACACGACTCTGCAAGAACAACCCCAAGGGAAATGCTTGCAATAACTCTATACATTTTATCTCAAAATGAATCAATAAGAGGGGCTATTGAGCGTTTTCAACATTCATTTGAAACCATCAACCGATATTTCTCAGTCGGATTGAACTCTCTTGTGAGTTTGGCCTAGAAGGTGGTGAAGCCCGAGGATCCAACGTTCTATGCAATTCCTTCACAAATTGCAAATGACCCTCGATACATGTCATTTTTTAAGATTTGTCTTTTACCATTACATTTATCTTTCTACTTTTATTACATTACAATTTAAAAAACTTTTTAGTTGTAACTCTAGGATTGTATTAGAGCTATTGACGGGACACACGTCGATGCACAACTATCTAGTGAAGAAAAAGTTGCGTACATCGGCCGATGCGATGCCCCAACACAAAATGTTATGGATGTATGTGATTTTAATATGTGTTTTACTTTTGTCATGGCTGGATGGGAAGGAAGCGCCCACGATAGTCTTGTTTTCAAGTTCGCTACCAGAAACTTGAGACATGAATTTCCGTACCCACCTCTAGGTAAATACTATTTGGTTGATGCTGGATATCCATTACAAATGGGATATCTAAAGCCCTATCCAGATACAAAGTATCATATTCCTGATTTTGAAAGATCTAGTGATGTCGCACGAGGCAAAAAAGAGGTTTTTAACAAAAGACACTCTTCATTGTGCGACATAATTGAAAGAGCGTTCGGAGTGTGGAAGAAGAAGTGTGTCATATTACAGGATATGTCTTCTTACCCTTTTTCAAAGCAAGTACAAATAGTTGTTGGCACAATGACGCTACACAATTTCATCCGACACCACCCTTCCAGATCGGATTCGGAGTTTGCCATTTTAGAAGATGATTCAATGCAAATCCCACCTGAAACATTTGAATATCATGTGAGACGTTCAATACATGAAGAGTTAGTTTGGTTCAGAAGATACATGCACTCTAGAGGGTGAAGGTGCATCATAGATGACGACTACGAGAACAAATAACAGATGATATCAACCGTTCGTGAATGAAGTTTTTTACAACATCACTTTATATGATGTTTAATTGTTAATTGATTAATATCACTTTTGAAGCACTGTGCAGTTTTGATTCAGAGATAATGATCATATAGAAAGTTTATGCTCTTCAAAATCATTCACTGATTTTCTTATATGACATGGATTATAAGTTGTTTTCGTGCTTATTTATTATTATTTTTTTAAGCTAAGCTGTCATTGCACTTTCATTAACCTGATTAATTTACTATATATTGAATTGTAACGATTTATACAAAGAAGTCATTGAGCTTTATCTATTTATAGAGAAATTTCTACAAATTTTTGCTTTATCTATTTATGGAATTGTATTAGATGGCGGCAAACCTCTTATAATTTGAGACATGAAACTCTTATAATTTGAGATATGAAAACACACTAATCAAACAACTAAACAACTTATTTAGAACAAAGGCAGAATTGTCAATTTTCCAGAATCAGCTGTTTTTCATAAGCGCAAACCAAACAGCTAGACAGCTTATCCGGATCAGCTGCTCATCAGCAGATTATTAGGATAAGCTGCTTATCAGCAGAAGCTGAATAAGCTGCAGTTGCTCCAAACAGACCCTAGGGGGACGATCTGAACCAACTAGAACATGGCAAGGTATAGCAAAGATCCAACTGTTCCTGTACATACGCAGCAGCAACCTTTAAGAAAAGGAAGAAGATAGAAAGAAAACCAAAAATCTCATTTTGCAAATCTGGAATAATTAATTCAGCCTACATTACAGAGCTACGGTATTCGGTAGCTTGATCTACTGTCTAACGGCGGGAAAGCTCCGAAAGGCGGGAGAAAAGAAGGGAGCTGAGCTGCTCCTGCGTATAACCATGGCTCATCATCCTCACCGTTACTTGCAGGACCATGAGCTCCTTAACCACCGAAACGCTGGCATAGTATACTTCAAGTTCTAGGTCCTTAAGAGCTGCCATCAAGCTCGCCGCCGGGTGGTGCCGGCGCGAGCATTGAACCCGTATCATTGCCTCTACGCCGAGCTTCTTCACCTCGATCTCCACGCCGCCTGAACCGTTAATATTCATCACCTTAATGCATTGTTCAGCCGCCGCCGCCGCCGCCGGCGTCGGCGGCATTAGGGGTTGAGACTTGAGTGTTTCGAGTTGAGATTCTAAGCCCTCTTTCTCGCTCTCGAGAGCTTCCACCTTCGACTGCATCTCGTTGATGTACGAGATCGCGTCGCCGAGCAGCGACGCTTTATCCATCTTCGAAACATTGGGAACCACTGCGCGCAGAGCGTAAAATCTCTGGTTCAGCTTCTCCCGACGCATGCGCTCTGCTTCCACGTGGTTGAGAGGCTCCTCCCGCCCGTTGGCCGGCTTGCGTCCGCGCTTCCGCGGCCGCGGCTTTTCGGGTTCCACAACCCTGCTGCTCTCCGCCTCGCGGACGGAAGCCTCTAGATCGGAGTGCTCGGATTCGCCTGCGCCGGCGGCGGGAGTAGTGTTGGGTTTAACCTGGCCATCGGAGAAGGAGAGCATGCCCTCTTCATTGCTTCCTCTGGACGTAGTGGCAGCGGCAGATTTCTTATTTTTGTCATCTGTGATATGTTGATGGGGAAAGAGGCCCGACGAGGTTGAATTCCTAATCCTTTCCCTTTCCTCTGAATTGAGGACGCCGGATTCTACTTTGAAGGGTTGGGAGGAGATGGCGCTGTTTAGTCCAAAATCTGAGAAACTGAATTCATTGCTGTATAAGGATTGACGACGGGGCTGCTGCAGATTCATTGATTGCCGGTGGTTTTGTTGCGGATGTTGGATTTGAATCAAATTCTGGTTTTCCGTCAGGCTGCTTGTGCTAGGGTTATCCATTATTGGGGATTTTGAAGCAGCGATCTCGACTGTAGCAGGGGAAACCGAATCGTTGATTTCTACAACTGACGGATCTGAGATCCACGTCGATGGATCGGCCTCGCCAAGTCCGGTTGCCACATGCGGGAAAGGCTGCAAAGGCAGCCATGAACCCGTGCCGACAGATGAAGCGGCGGCTGAATTTTCAAAACTGTTGAAACTGAACACAATCTTGACCTTGCTCATGATCTCGGCGCTATGCAAGATAATCTCCGTCGATCCGAGCTCGACGACGCCGTTTGCTACCGGAACGCAAACCATCGTCTGGATCCCGAATGTGTACGCCTGCTGCGCACGTTCACAGTGCGCTACGGCGAGCCGATCACTGCCGGCGATCCAGGAAGGGGAGCCAGAGTAGAAAACCTGCCCAGGGATGCCAGCACCATTTACAAAAGACTGCGTCATGGATACAAGGAAAAACCACTCGCTATCAGTAACCTCCTCTTCCACTGCATCCTCCATGGAAAACCCTGTAGCGCCGCCGGAGATCAGAGAATTCAGCTCGCGGAGTACACGTTTCCGGTGCTCCTGCTCTGCAGCTGACGCCGCCGTGTTAGCCTTCCGCTTCCTCTTGTCATCTTCACCGCCCTTGTAATACCCATCACCCCATCCAAGAAGCGTAGCGCCGGAGCCAACGTCCAAGGAGGATTGCCAGAAAATTGCGTATGCCCAGCTTTCCTTTGCTCCTTCCATCAAAATTTGCAGCTTTTGCTGCAGTGTTTCCTGAGTAAAATACGCCGGCGTCGGTGCCGGCGCTGGCATCGGCGTCCAGCTGAGGCTGTGGAGGTCGTTCGTGGGCATAAAGGCCTCCATCATGGATGCGTTGTCGTCCATCCACAGATTCATCACGATCGCATGAATGAGTGGAGAAGTGCAGCGTGGGGACTTGAACGGGTCTAGGTTTAGTGTTTGGAGAGCAGTTGAGAGTTCGGCCGGTTGGAGTTAGAGGCAGGGAAGAAGGTGGGGCGAAGGCAGAGATGGAAGCTTGGCTACGGCAAAGCCGATGCCTTTTCAAATCATTTTTAAAATGCTATAGATCTGGAAACATGATTTTCGATGTAATTAGGCTTCAATTACTGCTTAAACGCTAACAAAATTACAATTTTACATAAACAACTAGTTTTAATTTGAATAAGTTTTATATTTTAAAAATACTTCTCGACGGCTGCTATTGAATCCTTTTAAGGAAAAAAAAAAAAAAAAACTCTTGGCCGCCAAGAGTCCGCTTCGCCGACGCTCGGTATCCGCAGATTTTTTTGACTTAGCGCTCAGCCCACGTGGGAAAGACGACTCACGCGTGGGTTTGAACGGAAAATCAGATTAGATCGAGTCCGTTGATGCGTGTCGAGGGCAATTTTGTGATTAAGCTCAGAGAAAATGAATAGTGTAGCATCAAAAGCACGCTGCGCACTCTACTAAGAGTTTCACATGAGCTGACATGAACTTGAGATGGTGCCGCTACTTCTATTTTTAATTTTTAATATATCTTCATTTTTGGCTTTCATGCGTTTCTTTATAAAGATTTTAACCAAAAAATGCTCATATTAAAATAAATAAAATAATTTAGGGTTATTTATAATTAAGATATATTAAACCTAAATCTAATTAAAGAAAATTCCGAGTGGGGAAGTGAAAATATGTTGATTAAGATTTTGATCAATATAAATCTCAAAGCTCTCAGAAGTAATTTGAGATGGGTGTCATACAAAAAGAATTAATATTGCACTAATCTCAAAACGAATTTTGGGCATCCCACTAAACATAGTGGTTGTGATCCTTATCTTTAATTATATGGCCCTTAAATCTAAGACCTATCATGTACTGCCGTATGCTTGATATTGATTAAAAAAAGAAGAAAAAAAGTCACTTTCAATTTAGGGCATCATCATCAAATATATATATATATATATACATATATAAGCCAACGACTGATTTTATTGAAATATAAAAGGATAATATAACTTTTTATAGTAAAAGTAACTTTTATAAAAATTGCAAATGATTTCTTAGAAAAAAGTTCAAATAAAACGAGAAAAATATAAATATAATGATATGTAAATTTTTAGAAGTAAAATCAATCAAATAATGATAGTATTAAAACGATTCTGAAAGTAAATGTATCTCTTGATTTGTATCTATAAAAATTGAACTGTAATTCTTTGAGCTGCTTTAATGCATCTACAACCTGTCTCAGTTTTTTTTTTCTTTAATTTTATTGTAAATTCTAGAGGATTTGCTAATTTCTTGTATTCTAGCAATAATTTAAATTTTTAAATATACACAATTGCCTCTAGTATTGATCCTCCATAAACAAATTTCTATCATCCGACAAGGATTTCGATGCATGATTTGAATCTGGAGGTAATTTTTTAAGTAATAAATATTTAAATTTAGATTAAAAATCATCAAGAACTTTGATTTCAATAAACTTAGACAAACTAATTGTGTCGATGAGACATGCCCAATAAAACCAAAATTAGTCATATTTTGAGTCAAATCAGACCCAAATAAAACAATTAAATCACTTTTGAATGATTTTAGTGCATAATTGAAAGGTAATACAAATTATAAATATGAAAGCTTATAGTGAAATCGAGCATCTCAACGAGATGAATCCAACGAGCCCAAGATAGCTCCATTTTGACATCATTAAGGCGCTCCAATATTGACTAGACACTATCCAATCGAGAGAATCACTTCGGGTTGTCCGATGGAGTGGTTTAAATTCCTTCCTTATTTGTAGAGAGGCAAGTAGGACATTTTTTGACACCTCATTGGTCTTTGACAGCTCCATGGTGACTAGATTCAACATCTTTCATCATAAGCTACAATCATCAAGTAGGAGTTTCAAATAACAACATCAAATAAGTAAAAAATTCTTAGTAGTTTCTCTTTGACTTCTTTCATTACACGCTACAGTCTCCATATGGACGTGCTATGACCAATAACCCAGAAAAGGTTAAATATTCATAGTGACAAATAGTGTCTTCATCTATACTCTTGAAAAATGAGCTCAGGAGACAAGTCTCGATGAGAAGCTAGTTGTGAATATATTCTCAGTGAAGATTAGGTCAAAGTTCTAGACATGGTTTCCACCCTTATTCCCAGAAGACTAGCATAAGAGGCAAGTTTCTACGGGAAGCTAGTAATGGATACATTTATCACTATAGCAGACAAGGACTCCACCGATTCATCTAGAAGTCAAGCCAAGGAGGCATAACTCGATGGGAAGATATTATACTCATAGAAGACGAGCATAGGAGAAAAAAACTTGATAGGAAGATACAATATCCTTGAAAGTAGATCTTGAAGGCAAGACTCAATGGAAAGCTACAATACCCCTAAAAGATGAGCTCAGACAACAATCTTGATGGGAAGCTACTATGTTCATGGAATACATGCTCAAGAGGCAAGTCTCAATGAAAAACAGGTTTTGGATACATTCTTCATGAGAGAGATCCTTGAGGGAAAGCGACAAACATGGTCTTCACCCATTTACTTGAAGCAAAACTCAATGAAAAGATACCATACCCTTAGAAGTTGAGCCGAAAAGGTAAGACTTGATGGGAAGCTATGTTACCCCTATAAAATGAGCTCAGGAGGTAAGTTTAGATGTGAAGCTACCATGCCCCTAGAATATGAGCTTAGGAGACAAGTCTTAAGGGGAAGATAATAGTGAGTATATTTCTTACAAAGAAATACTTTGCGGGGAAACGATTTATTGAGTGTTCACTAAGAAATCACAGAAGAAATAAGTCTCAAAAGATATATATATATATATATATATATATATA